AATAAGATTGACTATCTGACAATGAGATTCTACATGGTAGGATAAGACGTTTGCAGAACTGTAATATCTGTTAGTTTCTGCTGTAGAGGCATAGCACTGAATTTCAACGCTAGTAAACTGTGAACATAGTCTTATCCATGAAAAAACATGTGATACCAAACTAATCTTATTGAAGGGAATGAGGGAAACTGTGATGTTGAATGTAGTTTAAGCAAATTTTTATATCACAATTATTTTATTTAATCTACTTAACATGGTTAGGTGACATTTCATACTGTAGATTCCAGTTTCATATTTTATATACAGTATCTCATCCTCCCGATTAATCTGACGTGGCAAAAATAAATTCCTCATTTTTATTTCAGGAACCACTCGGTCCATTTTGTTCCCCAGCTAGAGACTTATCAATTAGTACATGATACATATTGTTGTCAGATAAGACTCAAGGATGCCAAGCAGGTTTATTATCAACATGCAATGCCGTGACAGTTCAAGTTTAATTAACTATTTTTTCAGTGCTGATGACAATTAAACAACAGCCTATTCAAGACTTAAATATAGAATATGAAATAACATTAACAAAGAATGTCCACAGTTAAGTATGTGACTGAATAATGTACTGTACCTGGAAGAAAGCATTTTTCAGACTAGCTCACTAGAGAGGATGTATGACAGATATCTTTTAAGAATGAAGTTTCTAGTCAAATTAAGGCCACTTTCCTCCATTGCTTCAAACAAGCAGTCACAAGATAATTGCAGTATAGATGCCACAGAAAAAAAAATGGGGTTAGCTTCAAAAGTCATTGATGAAAATGAAATCCTAAGCTTTTTAAACAGGCAAAGTAATTGTTATCTTGGGATGCTGAGGTTGAAAAGCTGTGCACAGTGATAACAAGCCCCTGTAAAAATGGAAGAGCTGCAAATGTATCTCCATTGCATTTTTCTTGATTTGTTATTGAAGTGAAATGTGGAGACATTCTGTTTGAAGCCAAGTCACTTTGTATAGCAAACAAAATAGTCAGGGCAGGAAAACAGCAGTTACCACATTTTTTTTTTAATTGGTAGAACTCATATTCTGAGACCTTTTGTTGTCAATACCTGAACTCTGCCCTTGTCTACATCAGATGCAGTATGTGAAGCGAAATAAGCACTGATGGAACTAAATTAATCTGCTTCTCCTAACAGCTTCACTAAACACTAATCAGCCTGCACTGGCATTTCAGGTCTATCCACAGAGATCTAAGGGGGGTGTCGGAGGTGAGGACAGAGGTGAAGTGTTTCTTTCTGCTCACCCACATGGGAAATTACACCATGAGCCACAGCTTGAAGCATGAAATTGAAACCGTCCTGCACATCTGACGGAAGCCTTCCGTCATGTTGAAATTCAGCATGAAGGATTTTAAATAATTAACTAGAAAAAGTATGATCCCCCCCCCAGCTACAGTATTGTAATAGCCTTAAATCACAGCTCTGTGTTCATTGTATGAAATTCATTTTGTATAAAAAGTGGGAAAACTGGTTCTGGTGCGGTTACATTTGTGATATGATCCTGTAGAAAGAAGCTATATTGTGGTTCTTAACAAAAATCGGAAGTAGATGAATGCAATTTTTTAAGGATGTTATTGGAGGGGGAGATCTTTTCTCTCCAAGTGATTTTTTTTCCCATTGCGTTAGAACCGAACCCAACAAGATAATGAAGGAACTTAACTTATCAGTTACAATTAACCAAATCATCGATCAGAGCTTTCCCTCCAGGTTGAAATCTGGCAAGGTACCTATATGATAATTTCACAGGAAGAGGACAAAACGTACAGCTCCAGTGGTTTTGGAAGACCCCAGGTTGAATCTCACTAGCCCACTGTCAGCTTGTTCAAACAATGCTCTGCTCAGCCACCTGTCAATCTGCATTACAGGCTGCACTGCTGCAGTCAGAGCCCTTCTGTTCTGTGCCCTCTGGCTCATCAACACCAACATTCATTTAGTCAGCCTTTTAACAGAGACAGATTTTTATGCCAGCCTTTCACCAGCGATGTTGTCGGAGATATGCTAGGCGACGGACGAGGCTTCACACCTGCAAACCAAGCAACTTACTGAGGGTGAATTTCATTTGAGCCAATGCAGGTCATGCTAAGAATATGAATTAAGTCAAGTAGTGCATGATAAGGGCAGCAAAGGTTTCCATGTTTGATTGCCTACATATACCTTATGTTCTCACTCCTGGTAGTTTTGCGTTTTCATGCCGACAGCACGTGACAGGCTGTGATAAGTCATGATGTCGGAAGTTGAGACAGAATCTAATTTTAGGGTTCCCCTGAGTGCCATTGATCCCCTTCCCAGACTCAATCAAAGCACAGACATCATTTAGCCAGGCAGGACTCTGTGGCAGCGAAAACAAATTATTTCGAAGGTGCAGAACAATAAGGAGACGGTTAACTACAAACTAAATAAGAAAGATCAAGCTTCAGTCTGTACCATACAAAGAGATTCAAATGCTGAGGACCTGTGTAGCCGCTAGTGACTTTCAACAGAGGCATGAGTCCAGATAACTGCGTACACACAGATCCTATTCTGCACCTCCCTCAATGAAGACCCGTCCTTTTTTTATAGGAAAATACTTACCAGATCCAACTAATCTGAGAAAGTTGACAAGAAAAGACTTAAAATACTGCGGGCAATGCTTACACTATACTGCTTTATGTAGTGCTTAAGTAGCTAACTGACAAAGTAATTGTATTTAACTTTTTTCCAATCTAAGGACATCAGCAGCTTTCCATGCTCTCTCACTGACAAAAGCATACTCGAATGAGCAATACAGAGGTAGACAAAGCATCTTTGGGTAAAATTTGGCCCAGCTTTCAGAGTCAATACTAATTTGATAAGTGCTGTGGGGTCAATATTCTTCTTCGATTACTGCAGATCTTTATCTTGCTGTAGGGCCTGTGTATTCCTTGTTAAAAACTCTCATTCTTCTGTAGAACAGCTGCTTAAAAACGAATTCTCCCTACTCTTGTTGTCAGTGAAATATTTTGTACTTCTCCTAGATCGTAACGGAAATCAAACTTTTATCTGCATACTGACATTTAAACATAGATGTAGCAACACGCCTCAAGAAAACCATGAATGTGGAAAAGAAGATAATTTTCTCCCGTCTATACAGTATCTGCACTGCACTGTCTTCGCTCATTTCTCATGCAAGGTGTTTTTCCTATTGACTTTCAGGGTGTTCCCTATGACTAGGGTGTAAGGTGGTGTGCTATGTCCAATTTACAGCTACTGTACATCCCATTTGAGAGTTTTGTAGCTCTTATAATATAATTACCATTATTTAGCAGCAGTGTTACAGTATCAGAGGATCCACAAAATTGAACAGAGCAGCTGAATAATGCCACAATCATGACTCATTCCTGCACTAAGACAATAGTTTAGTATTTAGGTAGTGAGTAATATAGTCAGCAGCTTTATCACCCTTCATTTCACAACTGGCAATCCACTGAAGTTCAGCAGGAGTGAGCCTGGCCAGTACCTGGATGGGAGACCTCCTGGGAAAGCTAAGTTTGCTGCTGGAAAAGGTATTAGAGGGAGGGACCAGGAGGGTCTGTGTGGTCACCCTGCGGTCTGTGTGGGTCCTAATGCCCCAGTATAGTGACGGGAACACTATACTGTAAAAAAGGCACCATCATCCGTATGAGACATAAAATCAAGTTCCTGACTTTCTGTGGTCATTAAAAACCCCAGACCCAAAAGACTAGGGGTGTTAACCCTGATGACCTGGCCAAATTTCCCCCCACCTTTATCAATCATGACCTCCTAATACAGTAATCCCCATCTAAAAATTAGCTTCATCACTCTGTTCTCCTCCCCACTGACAGGTGATCTGTGGTATGTTGGAAATGTAGGAAGGTTAAATTACACAACCCTATAGAGGAATTGAGCCAGAGACATCAGGGTTAACACTCCTACTCTGTTGCTGAATTCCATGTGAACTTAAATAATCAAGTAATCAGGACCTTGGTTTACCATGTCATCTAATGGATCGCAGCTCCTGATCATGATCCTGGGATATTGTTTTGAAAATGCAGGTCCAGAGGAAGAAACTGGGGTTTTCCCTGGGGATCTCATATTCTAACACTGGCCAGGGCCAGTCTTGATCAGCCTCAGAAACCTGACAAATTCAGATTACACAGCAGTAACAGTAACACTGACACCAGCAAATTGATTTTTTTAAATTCAGTTATTCGTAAATCTTGGGCTTAAATGGAGAAAATCTTTTCGACAGTTCACAATTTTTGACCCCAGACCACTAATGCATGGTTTGTGTTCCACTGTGTTCCCTGTGTTTATTCTGACTGAGTATGTTTGACCAACTGCTCCTTCTGAGCGCCAAAATAGCCCATTTATAACATGAGGGACATGAAGCTCAGCAGGAATAATTTCTCAGCAAAGATGTCTTCTTTCAGACCCTGACATTTTCTTCATCTTTGATATACCGAAAGATGATCGAAATCAATCCATCAGCCCTTCAGCAGTACATCTTCATTTTTTAAAAGTTGGTATTTAATGTATTGTTCCAGTGTCTTACTAGAAATTGCGCTGCAACTTTTTTCCTCCCTGTGAAGCATTAAAAATTCAGGTGACCGAAAAAAAAATTAAATATGTATAAAAATCATAGGCATGCAGTATGAATTGGTCTGCATGAATACATTTTGTTCGTCACACTGGAAGGAAAAAAGCTTCCAGCTGATTTATTTTTGCAATTCACATCCCGGTTGATCACTGAACTAGAATGCATCTGCTACTCTTGACTGCAAAAATATAAAATCTTCCCGTTCCATCACGAACTCCCCTTCCACCAAGCTAGATGGGTGCTGCTTTGATGAAGGCAAGAGTAACGTACTGCAAGATCGAGGGTGGTCGGCAAACCATGACGAAATCAACGGTGCCAGCTAAAGAAAGCATTCCGACACAGTGGGGGAATGGCGGCGCATTAAGGGTTAACTTACTGCAGGTGGACTCGGATTCATCCGAGCCATCTGAACATTCGGGTTCGCCATCACAGCGCCACCTCTCTGGGACACACTGCCCATTCTTGCAGGCAAAGTCCGTGGTAGCGCAGGTCTTCTTTGCTGTTTCGGAAGAGAGAGACAAACGAAAAAGGCTGGTTGGTGTCTTCCTTGGGCACAACTCGCTCACACAGAGTGCCAAAGTTTTAACTGGGTGACACACAAGATTGGTGTAAAACACATCCATTAAATTAACTTTTTTTTGCATAACCCTGCTGTGATAGCAGTTATTCCATGTGTTTTGTGAACTAACACTATAGCCATCTGTCTGCAGATACTTGTATAGAATACTTACTTGTATAAAATAGTAACCAAGCTACGCTACAGAAGCCAATACCTTGATCCTTTCAATTAATGGTTGGATGATTATTGACATTTGGATCAATTATCTACTAACTACCAAACTTGCTACAGTAGATGGGCCGAATGCCCTCCTGTCATTTGTAATCTTCTCATTCTTATGTTCTTACATATTTGTACTGTATTTCCATCTACCTTGAAACACCCTGAAAAAAGTCTGCATTTTTTTACTGTGAGGTGTTCTTTAATTTTATGATCCTTTCAACGGCCACTTAAACACGTTCTTATAAAATTGAAGTACTTCTGAATGTCATCCCAGGACTACAGACCTTGACACAAGTTTTCCACAGCAGGCAATTACGCTGGAATGCAATAATATTCTCAACACATTTTTAAAAACCTTTATTTAATCACGGATGTCAATTGCGAACAAATTCTCATTTACTATTATGAGCTGGTCACTAGGTTGAAACCCCTGGTGAAGACATACAGGGAAACTGACAAGTGATTACCGACCTGTTTTTGTAAATAATTTATTTGGAGTTCCGCCCTGCAGTCACCACAGTTCCAAAAGTGAGAAACTAGAGAAATAATGGAGCAAGACAGCAGCTAAAATAAAAAGACATTTTCTTATCCTTAAACGGTTGCTATCAACTACCAAAAAAAACTGTTAGTTTAGACCGTGGATGCGGCCTCCCAAAGAAATCTCTCAAGGTTTACTGGGAGAAAAGAAAAACAAAACCTCTTCTGGGAACCATTATCATCGCAGCTAGGCAAAATTACAGTTAGAAATAAAGATGGTGATTTAAATTACCAGTAAGATTGCTTCTGAGTCGAAAACTGCACAGGAGGAGAAGGAAACCACCTGAGCAGTAAAGCCAAAATCAGAGACAAGAACTAAAGGGTTCAGCTAAAACTGCATTTACATTCTGACAGCTTCATTGGTTTCATGGAGTCGCACAAACTCCGCTGAAGCTCTGCACACAAAGGTACAGTATAAGTCAAAAATAAAAACGCAGCAATCTCAGTGGCCAAAGTGACGGGTACAGACTGCTTCAAGTCCCTTACTTACAGCCAGTAAAAGGACAACTCACTAGGGGGAAAAACAAACTGCAAATTGTGGAATCTATTATAGTCTGCCTTTAGATTTTGGGCTTTACACATCTTAAAAATGTGAAAAACAGACTCAATTTAAAAGGTACAGCTTCTGGCTCAGCCTTTAATCTTAGAGCTCTAAATGATAAAGGATGTCGAGTAAGGCAGCACTACGGATAAGCAGCTGAGTTTTAGTTTCAGGCATGATTTGTCATTTCTGCTGTAATTTTTATATGGCTTATCACAGGATTTTCCACACAATTTATACCAGTATAGAAAAGTCAGACATACAGTAGGAGTGAATACTCAGAAGTGACACCTTCTACAGGTTTGTAATGGGCAGCACTCTTCATCCTGGAGTTATCCCATAAAACTCCTCTGCACAGGTATTACAAATCTGTGCCACGCTATATTCTGATAATACAAAAGTTTAGAACCAGTGGGTCTATTTAAAGAAAAGAAAAAAACCCAATCAAAATATTTTATCCTAAATTAAAAAAAAACTGTAATGCTGCATCAGATGATAAATTAAACCTCAGCTTGATGACCTCAGCTTGTATCCTCAAAATTAATCACACAACATCCAGCCTCCAATTTCTTCTGTAGCACATCAGTTATCCTGATTTTCAAAAATAATTTAGCGAATATTTTAGGTATTTCCCAGTTTTTAAGTTTTAATTATTCCTTGGGTGTTTTTCCATTAATCTAACCTGTTCCTTTAGCTGCCTGAAGGATACATAACGATGACATTAAAGCCTTCGGAATGCACTGTACGCTGATCCCTATCATATATTGCTCAATGAAGACAGACATCAATAGCACACTGCGTGACAGACCCTGGATCAGGACCTGACATTTCTTTACATAGGGATAAATCGCAGATTTAAATATGTGCTTTCTAAAATCACAACATAAAAATAACAATAAAAACTAAGACACAGATTTAAAAAATGAGTAAACACACATGAGTAGAATAGCATATTTAAGAGGTAAAAGTAATTAACACCTGAAAAGCAATGCCATTTACAAACGTGGACAGCCCAAATGGCTTGTTTAATATGGAAGGTTTTGTCTGAACAGTCAAAAACCACCAAGCGTGCCCCATTAAGATTCTACTCACTCTGTTATTAAAGCTGTGCTGGGTGCAAGAGCCAAAAGACATCCTAACAAAGGGCAAATGGAAGCCTTTTCATATCTTTATCATGTCCTTAATGCACAGGCAGGTTACATGTGGGATTAAAAAATTGATAAAAATGTATAGCTTGAATTGATCTTACTCTGATCTTGACATTTTTTTAAAACCTACTGCAAAATGTGCATCACAATAATTCCTTAGGTTTTGCATCTAAAATAAACTTAGCAGAAGAAGATACCTTTGTTATCTTCAGAGACACCAATAAGTTTTAATTAAACCAAAAGGGTTTTCCTCAGAAATCTCCTAATTTGATAAGCTCTGGATTTTTAAATCATCCTTGACCCATGATTCAGTTCCAGTACGACAGAAAACGAGGGCACTGACAGAGGTGAGGAGGTTAGGTATTGCATGGATTTTATTCCTGTCAGTCGGAAGAGCAGGTAATTTGGGTGTCTAGAAGAAAGCTGGGGAGTCAGGGTTGTGCCTTATTAAAACCACAAACATCAAATAGAGGACAAGCCATGGAGAAGATCCTCCAGGAGGGAAACGTGTACTGGGGTTCAAAGGTTTGTTAGAAGATGAAAAGAATTCTAGGAATACACTGGGAAACTGAAAGAGCAGACAGAGAAAGAACAAAAGCATCTTGGGAAAGCGAAGCGAGATTGGGGCAGCTTCTCCAAAAGCACAACAAAGGCCGACATCTGAAGAGTACTGTGAAGAGCCGCCTTGAAGAACAGGGTGGATTATCAGAGAACTACTGCCAGAGGCACCGCACATAAAAGGAACAGTCTATTTCTGCAGTCTATTGTTTCAAACTTTCCCTGAATATAAGAAGCATACAAGACTGAAAAATATGTCAAGACCTTGTTATGCATAGTGATGTTTTCTTCCACAAATGCAAAACAGAACCTGCAACGAACAGTAGAACTCAAGAGAAATATTTAGTATAAGAGCTAAATCTCTTTGCGTGCCTAATTCAGAGAACCTGATCAAGCATACAGCAAACAATAAGTAGCCACACAAAACACTGGAATTTGCCACTGTGTTTGCGCCACTGCAATTACCGGTAATGTTGACATCATAATCAGGTTTACCTCCTGTACTTCAAAAAGTAAGGCACAGCAGATGTGTACTTATCTCAGAAGCCAGGTGTATTTCAAAAAGCACATTCAAATAAATACATAAATAAATATAATTAAGGCAAAATGTTTTCAGAAGCCTTGTTTTGGCTTCCGACAGACACATTACAAAGGTTAATCTCCTTCCCTTTAAGCTTTCCAATATAGTGTTCTCAAAGCCTGTCTTTTATTCTTTTATATACAGTAGTATTTAAGAACTGTGAAGCATTTTCAGCTGCTTGAGAAAGAAGAGGAATGAATCAAACTGGACTCAGGAGTCCATTATCCATCCACATTCAAGTTATTCTGAAGTACACACAAACATACACAAGCACAGCAGGGACAAGCTGAATGTGTAGTAGATTTCCCCATATTATCCTGCCAATATACTCCTCAACTGTCAGTTCTTAACTTTTCACCTGGCTCTGAAAAGTACCAATTTGTGCCAAACTGTGGGGTTTTCTGTAAGGTGCGATACCATAATCATTTCACTTGCCAAACACTCGCTCTCACTGTAGCTCCACCTTTCCATTATTCCAAAACTGATTATGACCTAGTGCTCTGCTCCTACTCTATGGCAACCCAACATGTCTTCTATACAAAGTAATCAGCTAGGCTCAAGAAACAGTGTTAACAGTGTTGGCTGAATTTGACAAAGTGAAAGGGGAATGCTAGAAAAAGCAACTGCCAATAAGCCACTTTCTCCCAGGGCTCTCTCTGTGTCACTCTTTTTAACAACCTTTCTTGCAGACGCAAAACAACAGGAGTCCAACTTCTAAAGGGCATCACTAGCAGGTCATTAACATGCTTGCAAATACGTTTTGACTGACAGCAAATTAACACTTTAACACTTCAATATCTGGTTCTGGGATTCCACTGACATTTTCCAACCTGGAAGATAAGGCCCTCCAGGAGCAGGGCTGGATACTTCTGTCTTAGATGAATAAAATGAAAATTTGCCATTAAAACTTATTAAACCAGTGAGCACGGGCAATGTTTAAATTGTCAAAAAACATTATAGAAAACCTGCCAGAAGATTAAGCACTCCACATTATAACCCAACATAAAATGCAAGAATTAATCAGAGTGTAACTTCATCGCAGCTTGAAGGGTTTATAATTGGCCTAGGTGAAAAGACAATATATGGAGAAAACCCTCTGTTACTGTGCACATTTCTTTTCATAACCAAACGCTGGGCATGTTTATAACTGTGCGGGAATGTGAACAGTTACAAAGGAGCTCTCGCTGCAAAATTCTGACAGGTATCACAAGAGTTTATCTGAGTCACAGAAGTTCTCATTTCCCAGGCAGATATAAGGCGTATCTGGGGAGTTCAGTGACAAGATCATTTCCCAGGGCCTGTAAGAATGAAGCCGGGGCTCCTCATTAGTTGGAACGTCTGCGTCAGTCCCAGC